ACTTGTGATCAACATCGCTGCTCCTTGGAGGCTTTTGATGCCATTGTGAGCAAATGGAAGAAGTATTCACCCTGTGGATGGATTGTTTGCAACCCAGATGAGCTGCAAAAGCCACTGTGGGTGAAAACACGGGGTCAGGACAAGGGGTGATCAACATTCAACATGAATGCAATGTGTTTCGCTCAGTTCAGTGTTCCATCGTGGTTTGAAGTTGCCCATACAAATTTGGTCCCGGATCCAACCCTGAACCCTGCAGGAAGGATGGATTCGCTTTGAGCAAAGTGCTTTGCATGAAGACAAGAACTTTGGAGTCCCCGTGCCATCGGCTTCAACACCAGCACCCACAGTGACCGGGCAAGAAGACAAGAGCGATTTGGTTGGGATTCCATCATCCACAGCTTCCACAACAGAGATAGAAGGAGGTACTCTAGTGAAGCGTAGTCCAGCAAAGCAAAGAGTCCTCAAGAACCCAGACAAGATTCGATGGAAGAGAACCCCTACACCGTTGAAGCCAGAGATGATTCACCGGGTGCGTATACTACGTTTGTTGAGGGCCAAGGGGACCAAAGCTTTGAGGAAAGCACGGCAAATGAGCAAGCTGAGCATTGAGGAGCGGAGGCGCCAAACCCTTGCTCCACAGGCATCGGATCCAGCAGCTGCTACAGTGCATGTTGCTGAGAGCTCCAGCGCACAGGCCGCTGGCAAAATCAGTCCTAGTGCGAATGCAGGCACACTGATTGATAGCATTGATACGGCAGAGGCAGAGGTCACCCCTTCCATCAGTTCATGCCAGGCACAGCAGAGTGCTGCCTGTAATGCAAAGATTGACCGTCCTGCTGGCATTGATTCCAGCGATGCTTTTCAGCCACAGCCACAGCCGGAGCCACCACAGCATGGCACCCATGTCCGGAAGCAGATTGACATCAATGTGGGTGCTAAGGCTAAGGCTGTTGATGCCAGTCAACCATGTCAGCTGGAGACAAGTTCTGCCACCATTGGTCCTACCCTCTTGGATGATTCCGCTGCTCCAGCTTCTATGGATGACCCAACCACAACTTCGGACCAGCAGACTCAACACAATGCCAGACCGGAAACTGAATCAAGCACCAACAGGCCCAAAAAACAGTTGAGCAAGAACGATTCAGCAGACTCTGCTCACTCTAATCACTCTGGCCTTTCAGCTGCTCTGTCACACTTTTGCAAGGACTTTTTGGCTGATGAGACTGGTGAGACTGGTGGTGATAAAGCAAAGCCTGCAACACCAAACGGTGGTCCTGAAATCCAACATGTAAAGCCCATTGGGTTTGTGGATGGCATGGACGGCATCAATGAAGCATTTGGCTTCTGGGACCATGCCCTTGATGTTCTGGTCCAAGGTCAAGATGAGGATGATGCTGTCAACACACTGGAAGGTTTAGCAAACTCTTTGCAGGAAGACTCCCTATCCACGGCATTTTCTGGAATTAGATCACCAGAAACCGCAATGGCTCTTTTGCGAAATCGGCTCAGCTCAAGGCTTGGCAGGGAAGTTGCAAATCAGAATGGTCGCTTGCAGCACTCAATTGAGTGGAACTCCCATTCTCAAGCAGAATGTATTGTGGGTGCAGATCTGGATGACAGCTGCGTGTTTGGTGACATAGCTCAATTCTACGTGGAGTCCATTCGTTCAAACGTCTTGCCAGAACTTCTGAACCATCCAGCTATGGCCATTGCGGCCCTCACCCCGCTCATTATGTCAGGAAGAGCAGTTCAAAGTACAGGCTTTTGTCTTCGACACAACAAATCCTGTGCTTTGAAAACATGCAGGAGACACATTGCAGGGACGTCCTGTAAACCATTCTCACGGAGAGGTGCAGGACTTGGTGTTTGTGATGGCGACATCCTATACACCCTAAGCTGGGTTGCCTTAAGACGACTGCTCCAGGAAAGTGATGTGACCCAGGAGAATGTCCGCAGTTTTCCTGTCAAGGTCATTGCAGATCTTTTGTCAGACCTCTATCATGTGGATTCCTGCGTGATGGAAGCCATTGACTTCGGCAGTCCTTGTGCGCGAGCCAGACAGTTTATACGACTTCGACACAAAGTCAAGATTTTGTCAGAGACAACCCCACTATCCAGGTTTGCGCAAAGGTTTCACCGCATGGTAAACTTTCATTGGTCTCAGTAACTTTCATGCAAAGAGATGTGTGTTTCAATGATGTGTGATTGTTATTGCTTTAAAAACACTTGTGTAGAGTTTGGAACAAATCAAACCGCCTTGAGCTTAGCAAACAATACCAATATGCTTTCTCATTGGTTTCTGCATCACAGCGCTATAGTTCCCATTGACGGACGGACAGTTCTCTTTTCTTCAGGCTGTTTTGGATGCTTTTCTTGATGTGCAATGTGCAAAGAACAGACATGACATGACATGTTGTAGAGATCCCGCACTGCCTGCACTGGTAAGGTACTACTACCTCCACAAGTTTGGCCATGTTGCGGACAAGCTGCTCCCAATCCCGAATGAATTGGACCAGGAGTTGAAGTGGGCTCAGGGAAGGCCACAAAGTCAAGCTGCTTCCTGGGAGCCCTTGTCAATGACAAGTGATGATGAGCCCTTTTTGAGTGCGCTCACTTGCAGTGAAGAGCGCTACAGACTGCCCTATGCAGCTGAGCATCCACAGCAAGCATGGCAGCTCAACCAGAACCCAGATGCTGGTTTTGGTGCTACTTGAAAGGATCACAAGCTGCCGACTTTGATAGGGAATGTGCACATGCTGTTCACAGAGCACCCAGATGTAAGGCCCTCCAGATGGCTAGTCGGGTCTGAGGCGCTGGCAACTCAGGCTTTTCCGGTTGTTCCGTATTTGTTCGGAATACCTCCTGACCAATTTCCTCCACTTTGCACTTTCAATGTGGCAAGGGAAGGGCGAACTTCTCGGCAGCTACTTGTGCAGGCAGGGAATGCAATGAACACTATGGTCATCACTGCAATTTGCCTGCATGGGCTATGCGATTGGAAGAGGGCTGAGATTCCATCTTTGATGTCAAACATCAGATTGTCACGTTCATTGACATTGGCTTCAATGAGAGCTAAGACCTTTGATGAAGAACCACCAGCCAAACGGCGGTATAAGGGCAAGCAGCCTCAAGACATGTTGTGAGGTCTTCAATCACGTGGGCCACTAAATGCTTCAGAAGAAGGAGCTCTTCCTTGGGGCTGCTTCGCGGTTCTTGTGGCAATGGCAATGTGGGGGGTTGTGACTTGCCACCACTTCATTCCAGTCCAGCTTTTAAGTTTTTCATTTCTCAGCAATGCTAGATCAGCTCAGCAACACAAGGATAAATCAATCCAATGACTGACTGACAAAGCAACCTGTCCAATGAGTCTTGTTGAGATGGAAGTAGATGAAACTCTTGAAGGACAGTTGAGAATACTTGAATATTGAATATCTGTTTGACCTATTTACCTGAGGCAGCTACAATCCACCAACGCAGCCTGAGGGGATGAGAGCCGTGAGAGGGGAATACTTCATATGCAGAATCTAATTCGCGCAGATTGCCCTATGAATCTTGCAGCATCCTAGTGGCCATCTAGTACAACCATCATACGCGGTCACAAATACCTGAAATAGGCCTTTTTGGTGTGTTGGTTCATTGGTTGATTGGTGTTTATTCGCAATAGATTGGCAGATAGGTTCCAATTTCCCTGTCTAGTCTAGCTATATCTGCATCGCTGTATTGCTGGCAAGATTGCGCGCATTGAGCGCTCGTTCCATAAACACCAAGGCCTCTTTTCATGACAAAATTTTGGCCGTTGCGGATTGAATTGAAGTTCAGATGAGCCCAGATGGGCCGGCAAACGTTTGCAGAGTCAGCCAAGTGGTATTGAAATTGAAAAGCTTCACGTTATGAGTCTGTGCCTGATTCTTTTGACTCAACTCCAACACATGGCAGAGGTTTCTCCACAAACCTTATGTTGTTGAAGCTAGGCTAGTTTCTCTGGAATCTTTGTTCTGAGATTTGTTCTGGTTTTCACATGGCCACAGGCTGCACTTTTGTTGAGTGCAGCTGGCGGCCTTTGCTGCCTTGCATTGGGGGTCATGCGCTCAGAGTCAGTCTTCAGAGTCTGCATAAAAGATATCTCTGACTTGTTTTGTTCATTTAGTGTTCTTCATGTTTCATGCGTTTGCCCAGTTGGCACTCTGTCATGGCAGTGTGACGAGTAGATGTGATGCGAGGCTCTTATGATGTCGTTGTCATGTGTTTTTTTTGCGCCTGTCATATTCCTGGCTCAATGGTTCAAACATTGCTAGAGCTCATTTCGGGTTCATACCACCTCACTCTTTGTCTTCTACAAGTTCTACAAGAAGCCTGGTCTCTCTTGGCCGCAACATCTTGGTGTGAGGCCATGTCAAAACCAAGCGATGAAAAGAAGATCACTTCCACTTCACAGTTTGGTGGGAAATTGTCAGGGAAAGTGCCCGGTGATCCCTTGGACTTTGATTTGTTTGATGCTGAAGGGTCACTGGAGTCCTTGTTCGGAAGCCTGAGCGGGGCAGCCTTGCTGGAGCAACTCTTGGTATGGTTCCAGGGCGGTGAGCCTTTGGATGTCCCATGGTATTCTGAGGAGAATGCTCGGAACTTGATTCGTCATCCTAGTTCCCGAGAAATTCAAGAATCTACCGTTACTCGCTATCAGATCCGGATCCTGTCTGAGGGTCTCAGCCAAGTTGTATCAGGAGTGGGATTGGTTGTTGACCTGACTTGATCACTGCGACTGCGAGCTAAGCTTGGTTGGGCATGGTCATTCAAAGCCAAGAAGAAAAGCAATAAATTAGTTTAAATGATTTAAACCTTAGAAAGATCTGGAATCTGGAAAGTGTTCCTTGTTATTTCTTCCAGGTTTGCTTTATCCATCCGTCCCGCCCGCACATGATCATTTCTTTTTGCTTTTGTATTTGTTGGGAGTTCAATTTGTGCCTTGAGGAGAAGCGCTGTGCAAGTACCGGACGGAGGACAAATCTTTCCCCTTGCTGGCTCTGGGGTTCAACCACCGAGCAGAGGCTTTCTACCGTTGTGATCGGGAATCACCTGACAATTCCTTCGTGAGGGATGCGAGAGTTCGGGGATTGCGACGGGTGAGGGTTCTCAAGGCTCAAACTCCGGACTTTGTCGCTAGCAAGATCATCAGCCTGCTCAATCAGTTTCATGCTGGCAGCTCTGAAAACCATTTTGACATCATGGCGGAGGCGATTGATTTATTGCTTGCTTGTGCGAATGATGTACTCATCAGCTGCGCATTGTGCATGATATAGATGATTATTAGCTGTTTCTAGCTGTTTCATTGGACTTACAATATAGTGCCCATCTACTTTTTTGTTTATATGTTGGTGGCTGTCCGGAACACTAGACCACTTGCATTGGGATATCAGTGCAACAGGCTCTAGGCAGGTGTTCTCAGTTGCTGGTGTCAATGCTGTGAGGCCTTGCGTTTGGAGTCAGCGTGGAAAGCGGAGTGCCATCTCACGAAGCTCAATACGTACAATCCGCGGTATGGCCAAGCGTACGATGAATTTGTCATGGCAAAGTCCAGTTCCAGTGACTACAACAATTATTTCCGTGCGAAACTGCAGTATTACAATGCTTTGGCACTAGCACACAACCTGCAGAACTTTGGCATCTATGAGAGGACAGAGTCATGGGCCAATGCCTTTGTAGATTTTTGGACCCACAATACAGCCCACATGGTGTCATCTCCCAGATGCACGCATTGTCGCTCATGATCATCGGGGGCCAGAAAAGATTTACTTCAAAGCAAAAAACTGCAGAGCTTGTCTTCGAATCCATGAAAGCATGTGTGCGGGACTCAGCTTTCATGACTGGGAAGCCGAGCATTTGTTGCATCATTTGACGTTTGTCTAGGTCATTGGTTAGGTGAAATCAACATGAAGAAACTCACTGGCTCTGCAGAACCTCTCGGAAACCGTCGGAAACACGTAAACAAACTCTCTAACTGACAGTGCTGACATAACACTGTGCCCGCAACACTGCAACATACTGCAACACAAACACACACAGATCCAGCGCCCTTGTGCTTGTGCTCAGGTGCCAGTTGGGCAGGCGCGGAAGGCTGCAGGGAGAGGCCTCACGTTTGCCTTTGCCAAGGGCGGCCAAGAAACCAGTCAGATTATGAATCTGATCAACTTGCCCATGGACTCATCAGCTGTTGTCAAGAAGATGATGAAGGGGTTGACTGCTGACCAGCAAAGCACTGCTGGTCCTAGTCCTGGTCCTGGTGCTGCAAACTCAGAGACCACAGCGGCCACTTCAAAAGAGGCTGCGCTGTTGCTAAAAGTCAAACAAGGTCTGGCTGAGATCAAATCCCTCAACATCTCATTGAAGGAGTCTGAAATGAAGAAGTTGCCGCTCAAGCCCTGTGACGCAACCAAAGGCGTTGCAGATGGTGATGATGAAGGGAAACCTTCATCGTCAGAAATGAATGCAAATGCCAAAGAAGAAGTGAAAACTTGTGATGGTGATGGTCCAACTGGCGGCGGGGTGGCTCAGGATGGGCCTGAGGCAAAGCGACGTAAGTTCAGCAAGGTGGAACGGAAACGTGCAGCTTTCAAAGGCTATGAAGCAGAGAAGGAAACCTTCAGTGTAATGGCCACATCATCTACAGGGGACTGTCGGCCAATCACTGCCCTTGATGATTTGCTGGCGGCATTGAACTTTGTCTTGCGCAAGCTTCTTGATGAGAAGGTGATCACCGATGAACATGACCCATCCATCATGGGCGCCTTTGGCTTTGTTGCAGGACTTTGGTTTGAATTTGCCTTCCAAGGCAGGGTGTGTCTCAACGGGCGTGACTTCAGACAATACAGCGCCCTTCGAACAGAGTTACAGCAGACTCTGATTGACGCAACTGAGAAGATTCAGATCTCTGCTCCTGACGCACAGGAAGGATCAGCCCAGGCAAATCACTCTGGCTCTGGGAAGCGGCGTGGCCTTTCCCCACTGGAGTTGGCAGAATTGCTCAGCCGTGACCATTTGGATACTCCTGTGACCAAGCTAGTTTGGGATGATGAGGATCCAGATGAGCGTGCCATCAAGAGCATTTGCACTGTGATGACAACCATGCAAGAGGCTGTGGTGAAGCCTTTGAAGAATTTTGTCGCTCAAACATTGCCTTTGCCACTTCTCATGCATGAAGCAGTACTACTTGGAATCAAGCAAATCCTTTCTGTCCTCAATTCCAAGGAGCTTGACTTGAACGACATGACGTCAATGATCAACTCAATTCTTGATGAGAAGTTGCCAGCTTCTTGGCAGAACTTTGTCTTCAACGTTGCTTCAACATATGGGGACAAGGGGCACTTCATTGAGCGGACTGACGAGGCTGTCCGCGCTAATCAGTGGGTTGGTTGCTGAGCACTGGACACAAAAAACTACAGTAGACTCTTAGAGCGACCACTCTCATGATTGTATTTTTGTAATTTACATTGCAAAACAATCATTTGTTTTAGCTTTGCATAGATGTTGTCAAACAAAATAAGCAAACTCTGAATGGAGCGCCTGTCAGGTGTTCAAAGATGTGGATCGACTTCAAAAGTGTGCGTCTCTACGTGTCAAGTACTTGCTCAATATCTTGCATGAAGTCATTTCAGCCACCAAGGGCATGCCAGAAGTGCAGGCAAATCTGAAGATCCCAAGCACCACAGAAAGCCTCCTCCAGAAGCTGACCAACCTGGCCATGGATTCACAGGTCTTTGAGCTTCTTGTGGTGTTTGATGCGATCCAGTTCAACCAGTTCTGGGCTAGAGAATGGGCATCTTTGCTGACTAAGGCAACATCAATGTCAGAACTACTACAACTTCTTGGCCAATCTACAAAGCAAAATGCTTCTGGTGCGACTGCAATGCAGGCTTTCACGGCAGCAGCTAAGACTCACCATGATGAAGGCAGGGTTGTAGGGCCCAGACAGGGTCAGACAGGGTGGTGGTTTGTTTGGCTAATCTGTTTCCTGGTTTTGTGTTGGTTGAGGTTTTCTTTGGAACTTGGTATTGGTGTCTGATTAGTTGTTTGTATTAGAGCCAATACGCCGATGGGCCAATAAAGGTTCGTGCAGTCCATAGCCATATAAGGTTTCCAGCTACCAGTAAGCCACATGCCCCCTGACACCACCTGGCAGCACCCTTAAGCCATAGCTGAATAATGCTTTCTGTTTGAAACAGCAGTTAATTTTTGACGCATACTTCAAAAACACATCTTTCTTTTGAGCATCTTGTCCGATCTCTGTTTGGAATTACCTTTCTTGTTGTAAACATTTTAGCCTTTCCTGTCCTTCTTTCCTTTCCTTCCTCTGTTTCATTGTTTCATTGGTTCATCAATTTATCATAGCATGGCAGGTGCGCCCGGAGCAGGCAGCGACAACAAGAATGGCAATGAAAACCCAGAGAAGAAGGCGAACGGCGACGTGGACAAGGATCAGCAAAAGAGTGGGGCAGCAAGTGGATCAACCTCAGAGGCTTCAGGCACCTTGAGTCTTACAAGAGTCAACTCCTACAAGGATGATGAGCGAGTTGCCAACGAGAAGTTGTTGGAATCCTCAAACCAAGCGCTTGAAATGAACCTCACTGATGAGACCATGGATTCGATTTTTGGGAAGGTTCTTGAGCGCAAACTCGAAGTGCTTCATTGGCAAATGCACCAAGTGTTGGCAGTTGGCTCAGATCAGGTTCTCATCAATTTGGCCAACAAGAAGGACTTTGTGCGTGTGAAGCTGCCTGTGAATCATGGACGGTTGCAAATGCCATATTCTGGGAATGTCAGTGTCACAAATTCCAGGGGATCCTATCTGTTTGCCAATGTCTTCGGCTTGAACTTTTTTGTTCAGCCAAGATCAGATGGGCTCAACTCTGACATTTTGGTACCTGCATGGTCAGCCAAGCAGGTTGCCAAATCCTCTGATGCGAACTTTGAACAAACGAATGTTGTGTCAAAGTTCATGGCTTACATTGAGCATGGCCAGCAGCTCACGTCCATTTCTTTCGTCCTGGTGCCTGACAAAGATCGCCTCGCTTGTGTGGTACAGAAGGAGAAAGACATCAAAGCAGCTGGTGGTTCTGTTTGTTACTTGCCAACGTTCATGGCCCTTTTGCTTTTGCCTTCATGCAAACATCTAGAAACTGTCTTTCAGCTGTTCCTTGGTTCCTTGGTTGTTTGATAAAGCCTTTGGACTAGGTTGGGGTGAAGCCCACATGAAGATCCTCAAGCCCATTGATAACTTGATGGACAAGTTGCAGCAAGATCTGGACAAGCAGAAAGAGAAGGCGGAGAAAACGGCGAAGCTGCTCGTTCAGTCTGCATCTAAGAAGAGACAGGCAGTTGAGAACAAGGAGAACAAAAAGAAACGAAAGCAAGCGCAGCAAAGTGAGGATCCATTGGCACAAGTCAAGCTGGACAAAGAAAATGCAGAGGCAGAGCTGAAGAAGCTTCAGCACAGTGCGGAGGAGGACAAACATATCCAAGAAGCGCTTGACAAAGCTCTTGCTTCTTGCAAGATGCCTGAGACAATCCCAATCAACGTTTGTGTTGCCTCAGCCATTGTACCAGTTGACAAAAGTGCCAGGTCTGAGGCTATGATGGCTGCGCTCCAGAAAGCAAAAAACAAGTTGGCCACTGCCAACACTACCTCTGGAAAGGAGGAAGGTGCTATGGAGGAGTCAGCTTCTTCTTTGGAAGTTGGTTTGCAGGCGGCTGTAGAGTACCAACGAAGGCAAGGCAACATTGCTACCAAGAAAAAGAAAGGCACCAAGGACGAAAAGTCCATGGTCACAGCTGATCTGAGGAAGATAGGCAAGCATTTGTTGAAGTGAGGGCGCCGTAGGAATCTTCTTTTCACAGCTGGATTGTCTGATGTCAGTCTGGCAGCCACTCTGGCAGCTGCTGGCACTCTGGTGTATAGCTTCTTGACACTTGCTCTTTAATCCGGGCATTGCTTGGGTCCGTAGCAGCTTAGTTGCTTGCGTTGCAGTTTCTTTGGTTGTTTCTGTTATTGTTGAATATGTTTCTTGTTGAATTGTTGTCGTATTACACCAGTTTCTTGTCTTTGCTTTGCTGCATCAAATTTCCAGAGAGACCTAGACACAATCCAGTATATTTCCTAGGCGTGGCGGCAAAACGTTGAACGTTGAACGTTAAACTGACCACACTCTTCCAAGAGCCAAGGACACCAGATGTAAAGTAAACCTAAAAACTCATACTCATAGGGCAGAAACAAACAAATCCTTCATAGTCTAGTTTGTTTGTGTGTCTACTATACTTTGTACAGTTGTACACAAACTATGACCTGACTGTGGGAATTGGGTGCTACGATTGGGGAGCACGTGTGCATCCTCCACAGTGGGTTGGGCATGTACCTGAATATGCCAGAGATGGTGTCCTTCAGACAGCCAACACGAATTGCTCCTGAGTTTTGGTCGGTTTTGTTCAGATGTGCTCTCATTCCAAAATGGTTTGGGGTTGACACATCTATTTGCACAAGTGATATAATTAAAGAAGTGGCAAGTGCGCCTGGTTGCCTATGCCTGTGTATTGGATAATTGAACATTTTATATTTCAATGCAGTGCATCAGAATCAGAATGCTAGGGGGGCACCGGGCCACCAAACAGGCCAGTCAAAATCAGAGACAGTAGAGAAGTGTCCAACGTATCCCAGCGGCAAAAAAGAAGACAGTTGCAGCTACGTTTGCGCATTAGTTCATTAGTTCCATCTCATCCTGTCAGTTCAGAGTTCATTGTTTGTGATGTTTCTAACTAACACTGTCCAACAGGAAAATCACCCAACCTG